GATTACCCCCGATCTACTCGGCGGCCTGTTTGAACATTTTGGGCTACCGTATTCCATGTACATTTTGCATCTATTTACTCATATTTTGTTGGTGTTTACATTTAAAATTATGCATTCTAATCGTATCATTCACTCTCGGGATTATATAAAATGCTTAAAACCTAAAAACTTTCATATTTGCAATAAACTCAAGAAAAAGCACCATGGTGGTTGGCAACGTGCTTTAAAATCTACACCCATACATCAAACTACTGTTCCGGTTATCGTTAGTACGAACTGTCGGTCACTGCCTAACAAAATTCTGGATTTTCAGTCCCTGTTGTTGTCCGAAACTTATCATAATACTGGTATTGTAACCCTACAAGAAACCTGGCTTCATGACTCATATGATGACAATATAGTATCTTTAAATGATTTTAATGTATTCCGACAAGACCGTGTTTGTTCCAAGAAAAAATGCGGCGGTGGAGTAGCTACATTTATTCACTCAAAATGGTCTATTTCTAACAATGTTTGTTTCAAATTCTCGAATGACTACATTGATTGCATCACTGTCAGATGTCGCCCGAGATACTTGTCAAAATACAAATTCATTTATATTTCTAATGTTTATGTCTCTCCTGGCTGTACCATATCGGATTTATCTATGTTCGCAGATGAATTCACCGCTTTTGCTGCAGCTTGTTTCGAGAACTCTTTATCAATAGTGACTGGCGATTTTAACTCTTGTGATCACTCCTTCCTTATATCACTTGGCCATGACAATATTGTTAACTTTGCTACCCGTCTCGAAAAAAACACTAGATCTAGTATTCATCAATGATGTTGGTATATATGAAGCTCGCAAACGTGCTCCTGTATTGAACTCTGACCACTGCATCATACGTGTACTGCCTAAAATATATTCCAAATCACACAAACGTGTCTTCTCTCACCTCTACAGTAAATTTCAACGGAGATGCTACTCACAAGATAATCTTAGCAAACTCAGATGCATGTTGATAGATACTAACTGGGACCTATTTACAGAACAAACATTAAATGACACAATCACAAACACCACAGATTATCTTAAATTCTGTTTGGAAATATGTTGTCCTAAAGAAACATTATTCACTCGTTTTGACCGTTTCTCTTCTCCATATCTCAAAAAGCTCCGTAGAGATAAAGAACTGTTGTTCAAAACAAATGATAAGTCAGGTGTAAAAAAGCTAAATCCTCTGATAAAACTCGAAATGCACAGACTAAATGTTTTATACAACCAAAGATTTTTGTCATGTAAAACCCCTTCTAGTTTATGGAAACTTTTTAAAGAAATAACTAGCGGTAAGCGGTGTAATTCTGTACAATCTCTTAATGTTAATAATCTTAATAAGTCTTTCATACGCTCCTCTGACGATATCCTTCCTAATGATACAAATCACATAGACAATAATTTTAATGGTTTTAATACCCTTGATGTGCTTAAATGTCTCCGTTCTCTTAAGCCTTCCCAAAGCCTTGGTCCTGATGGCGTACCTGCCATTGTCCTCAGGAACTGTGCTGATATTTTGTGTTACCCTCTTACTAATATTTTTAAGGCTTCCTTTTCCAGTAATGTTCTACCTTCTGCATGGAAAAACATTAAAATTGTCCCTATACCAAAACAATCTTCTGGTACCGATAGTAAATTTAGGCCTATTGCAATTACTTCTCCTTTTTTAAAATTGATGGAAAAACTACTTTTACTTCGTCTTGAACCTTCATTGAAAGCTTTTAATGACCCTAAGCAATTTGCATATAAACATGGTAGAAGTACCTTGGATGCTGCGGTTGTCTTATGTCATAATGTTGTTTCTTGTTTAGACAAAGGTGCCAAATATGTCCGTGGTGCTTTCCTAGACTACACATCTGCGTTTGACTCTGTACCTAGGGGCCTTTTATTAAATAAGGTCTCCTTGACGCACACAGCATCCTGGGCTAAGAGTTGGTTGCATTCTTATTTTTCTGATAGAATGCAGTATACTGCATATAATGGCAAATCTTCTTCTGCTTTGCTTACAAAAGCCGGTGTTCCTCAAGGTGCCGTCCTCTCTCCCTTTCTTTTTTCTTTCTTCTTACATGACCTGCCACATTTAAACGAAACCAATTTTGTCAAATATGCTGATGATCTGACTGTATCACTGCCTATCACTTCTGGGTCTGACTGCTCCAAACTTAATAGCTTTTTGTTGGACATCAGCATGTGGTCTAAGTCAAATGGTCTTATGTTAAATCCTTCCAAATGTCAGGCAGTTAACTTTACCTTCAACCATCGACGTGACATACATGAACTAGTTAGTTCCCATGATGCCTGTAGCATAGATGGTACAGAAATTGAAACCAAATCAAGCATTAAATACCTCGGATTAGTTCTTTCCTCGGACCTTTCATGGTCATCTCACATTTCATTGGTCTCTAAGAAAATGTTTCGTCTTACCTTCTACATTAAAAAGTTAAGACAACAAGGTATCAGCCAACCTTTAGTTCTGCGATTTTTAAACTCCTGTATTTTACCCATTTTACTTTATTGTTCTCCATTAATCTTTCCTGGGCTTCTTAAAAAAGACTATGCTGTATTACGAAGGGTATTAAATGCTGTGAGTAGGGCTTGTGGTTTGCCAATACCATAGTCGAGAGACACGTAAATTCCTGTAAAAATTGGGCAAAGGCCGTACTGTCAGACCCTCTGCACCCTCTTTATTCACAATTATCCCCTTGTATCTCATCAGGTAGAACGAGAAATCAATATAAGAAATTATATGCTCATACCACTAAGTACAAAAATTCTACAATACCGTACTTAGCCCGTATTTTATGTGATGAAGACACTGTTAGACGTGAAACATATAAGTTACTATGTAATTAGCATAGTGAATCGACCCTTTCATTGTTCATCTTTCTGTAATTCTATGGTGTCACCCTTTCTATCGTTTAATTATAACTTTGCTATTTTTATTTTAGTTGTTATTACTATTATTACTATAATTTTATATTTTTCTCCTTATCCTCTACTGTAATTGCTACATAGCTCCTATAAAAACGTTTTGTTATCATTATTATGTATTAATTATTCCGTTTATCTACTTTTTTTGTTTGTTGTTGTCGTTTTTGAGTAAATTAGATGCAATACTGTACTGAATGCTGAAAATTCCTTGCTGTATCATTAATACTGTTTTTGGAATAAAGCAAAAATTATTATTATTATTATTACCAGACTGACCGATATATATTATTATATAATATAATTTACAAAATACCTTGTAATGACTGTGAAGTCAACTATATCGGTCAGTCTAGTAGATCGGGGGTAATCAGATTGTCGGAACATAAGAATTTAGCCAAGGTAAGAATGGTTGACCCCACTCGCGAAGATAAGTAATTTAGAAAAAAGCACTCAGCACTATACTGCACTGCATGCATTAACACACAACCACACAATAGCATGGTGGGAGAGGGTTAAGATTCTAAGAAGTAATCTATGTAGGTGGAGAGAGAGATTGATTACTGAATCTTGGTTCATTGAATCTACACCCAACACATGCAACGGAAATAACTCAATGCAAATACCAGAAATATGGAAGATATTATTACCACCAATCAGTCAAATCAGAAGAGGATAACAAATAATCTCAAAATTCTATTTCAACTCAAGCAAATCACAACATTGTAACAAGTTACTTATTATGACTATAAAAACACTCGTCTTATTTCCCATCTAATTGTATTTGATCAATAACACTCATATTATTATCTCTGAATGTACATTATCCTATGTTGATTTTTATTCAAATATCTAGTCAATTCCATACATATATATATAAATGAAGGAAAAAGTTGTGTGAGTAACTTGATATGATTATGAGCAGCAATAATTTGTGCTCGAAACGCGATCATCAGTTAGTATTACTGTGTAACACCACTGTGTGATTTATCAAAATAAGATCCTATCCATAATGAAGAAAGGTGGTAGTTCAGTGTCTATTTAACAAGCGTAAAGGGAGTGTGGAATTGTACAAAAGGAGCATAAGAGAGAGTGATAATAGTGAACTAATTATCAAAGTAAAAGCAAACTAAAAGTAAAATTGAAAATTAAAAAAAATTACAATTTTTTACAGGAAACGACTAGTGAAGAGGTTAAGAGACTGAATAAACATTTTCTGTATACAGCACAGTTGGGGGTTTGTATTGATAAATCGCCAACGCAGTGGATCAGAACACTCACGCCTACTTTATTATCCTCAATGAATTTGCATCTAAAGAGAGGTAACATTCACTGCTGTCATTTTCTTCCCGGATTCATGACCAACAATTATTGAGTGGACGAATTCAAACGAATATGAAGCAACACTATGCTGACAGAGATTATTTCTAATAGGTAGGAAGATGTGTAGGAACCATTTAACAGTAGAATGATTTGGTGAATTTTTCATATCCACGACTGGACGTAGTGGTACCTTCTCTTTGTGCATTTCCAGTAAACCATATTATCGAGGAATTACAGAATCTGAGGATCGTATCTGTTCAAATAATTCAGGGTTGATAATCGACTCGTTCTTAATCTTCTTCAGCATTTGTGTTATCTTCCCTTCAATTTGTTCAGTCTGATCTTTCTGGTTAATTTCTTTTGATATGATGGATGAGAAGTTGTCCAATGAAGTTATTTCCTGACCACAACGTAAACTGAATTCACATTTGAGGTATAAACACTTCTGCTTCTGTAGCCAACGTCTCAAAATGTTGCCTTCATTTTTGTCTACTTCGTATCCATCTGCGTCAGTGTACAACCTATGAATCTTTTCAGTATATATACAGTGTGTGTGAAACTATTAAATCAGTATTAAAAATCGATAAATTTAAATAATAATCAATACAACCTAAGGAGTTTTAATTATATTATATTACTACACTTGCTACCTGTTTGATGCTTTAATGTAGAAGTTCAATCACTACATTGTATGAAGTATATATGATACAACATCATGTATTCAGCATGGAAACAAGTGTAAGTGGATGATAAATATTTTTCAGGTTATTGTCTGTTTTTCTTTTTAAATTTTCAATAAAATAAATTGTCAAAAATAATCACGAAGTGATTTCAATGAGAGAACACCATTGAAACCATTAGGGAATTACCAAGATGACTGTTTCAGGCTTCCTTGGGACTCTTCAACAGGACACTCGGATGAATCCAGGACCTTCAGGTCGCAAGGAGAGTTTATATGCCATTGAGCTACTCCGATGTAATTAAACAGCCGCTATCAGACACATGTGCGTTAGTGGCGTAGCAATAGAGTGCTCGCCGACCACGCAGGTGGTCCGGAGTTCGATCCCCGGCCGACTCACTCCTTTACCTCGCTAAGCCAGTAGCAAGACTGGTGGAGAGGGAAGGTTGGGCATGAGGCAGGCTAGCAACCCCATCCTGTAAAAATAATCACCACTGCTAAAGAAACTTCAAGCCTCTAGCTTGAAGGTGCCCTGTGATCCACTGGGAATGTGAAGGAATTAAAAAAACCAAACAGCTACCAGACGAGGCGAGTCATAATTGAGCAGAAAGAATAGAATGGCGGTCGAGTCTCTACCTCTAACTGATTACTTTTGATGAAAAGGTCTTCGACAGTATTGATCGTGAAGTTATTTGGAGACTTCTTCAGCACTATAGACTGCAGTGTCACGAGCCTTCATCAAATTTATTCAACAGGTGTAATAGGTCGGTCGGTCGGTTTTCGACATAGAACTTTGCACATATGTGCGGAAGTTCAAGTCGCCACACTCCCTCCTTGTAGCACACAAAGCAAGAGAAGAAAGTAGAAGAAATGCATAATATAGACAGTAAACAGAGGTGTGAGACAAAGGAATAGTAATAACGGAGAACAAAACAGTTTAATTGGAAATCATGAGTCACAAGGAGTGGATGCATCTGTGCCACTGAGAACGATTTTGAGGCTTATATCTCACGCTCTCAAAAGACTGAAAAACAGGAAAGATTTTGAGCCTTGTCACCAATTGTTTCCAACCATTGGTTTTTACCGTCCCGAGGACCCCAACATGGAAGTCTACACCTTCCTACGTGGCTGGCCTAAACTAACTGTTGTAGATTTCATTGACTGGTGCCATGTTTTCTTCTGACCGCCGCTAGCTCTTTTCCAGCCTGGCCCTATATCAGCTAACATTGCCCATTGTCGAGGAAGGCAATGACTAGGCATACGTAGCACATGTCTTAACCATCTCAGTCGATGTAATTTTACAGTCTCATCTATTGATTTCCCCGCCTTACCTAGCACTCGACGCCTGACCTCAGTATTTCTCACCTTGTTATACCACTTCACTCGGGAGATAGAACGCAGATACCTATGATCGAAGACAGCTAATCTTTTCATGTCTTCTGCTCTCAATGGCCAGGTCTCGCTCACAGCCATAAAGGAGGACGAAGCGGACTGTTGAGCAGTACACACGCCCTTTGGTCGATAGTCGGATATCGCGTCTACTCCAGAGACGACGTAAACTAGCATTTGCGAAACTAGCCCTCTGTATTCGTGCTGAGATTTCGTCAGAGATCAACCCGTTGGGGCTGGTGGTACTTCCCAAGTAAGTGCTCTACCACTTCACTTCCTATTTCTAATCTAGGGGTCGGTGAAGTCCAATCCTGCAGCATCATCTTACAGGTGTAATAACAATGCCACAATGTTAGAAGACAGGGACATCTTAGACAGATAAGAAAGAGCACTCTAGAAGATTAGGATCTTGCAGAAAAATTATATCCAATGTCATAGAAACTCGATGACCTCCAGGAAAAAATCAAAAAAATTAGAAGGAGAAGCAGCAAAAGCAGGATCTCAGGTGAACATAGAGAATATGGAAGTGGTGAAGATAACTAACCAACAGCAACAACTACCAGCACCAATCACAATCAACGGAAGAAACTTGAAAGTGGTCAATTCCCTCACTTATCTAGACTGCAGAATCGTTTCAACTACAGGCGGCAGCACAGATAAAGATGTCAGTGAAAACCAGAATCGGAAAGTTGAGACAGACCTCCATCACTCTGCACTCATGCAGCCCTTAAATAACGAGATTCAGATTTTCAACGAAAATGTTAAGTCAGCTAGTGCTTCAATATGAGTCAGAACCTAGGCGCGTGCGTCACAAAATGACGTCTAAATTTCATTTGAGCAAACTGGATTGAGGGAAGGTAAATCATGTGCTGATCAAATCGCAAATCTAAACATCGTCATCACAGAACACAGTATAGAATGGCAGTCATCTCTCACTCCACCTCAAATTCATCGACTTCGAAAAGGTCTTCTACAGACAGCATTGACCGCGAAGTAATTTGGAAACTACCTCAACACTATGGAGTGCAGTCCCACAAATCTTTATCAACCGCATTCAATAGTTGTATGATAAAGTCATGTGTCAAGTGATCCACAAAGGAAAATTCATAGAGGTGTTTGCAGTGGATACAGGAATAAAACAAGTCTGTCTGTCTACTATCACTGGTGATATTCTTAGTTGTGGTGAACTGGATTGTGTCCAATTATGCCTAGGGAGCTAGGGGTTAGGAATACACTGAACCACCAGTAAGAAGACTCTAGAAGATCTGGAGTTCGTGCGTGGATGATTTATATCTAATGTCATACAAACTCGAAGTCTTGCAGGTGAAAACTGACAAACTGGCTGAAGAGGCTGGCAGCAACGAAGACAGGACTGCAGGTGGACATTTATTTTATTTTTTTATTATAGCTTTATTCCACAAAGTATTTTTGGTACAAGTATAGCATTTTCAGCATGCGATATCGGTAGCCCAAATTTGCAGGCCAACCATTGATATCAGGTGTGCGCCGACAGGGGATCACATGCATGGTCAGCGAGAGTCGTAACTGCTGTACCACCGACGCACAAAGGTGATGAAGATAACGAACCGCAACAACATCAACAACAACCATTACCAGTCACCATCAAAGGAAGAGATTCGACACAGCTTACTTTTATCACTTATCTGATCAGGAAGCACGGTTTCGAACACAGGCAGGCGGACAGCATGGATGAATATGTCAAAGCAGGCCAGAGAGGATCAAAAAGACAAGATACGCCTTCATCAGCCTGAAACCAGTTTAGCGAATTTCTGCACTAACTCATCCATCATTAAGAAGAAGATTCGGATTCTCAACACAAATGTGAAGTGAGCCAGCCAGTTCTTCTATTATTAATATTATTGTTCCCTTGGGTTCCTAGTGGAACATAGGGCTTCAACTGCACGTCTCCACTTGCTTCTGTCTTCTGCTGTACTTTTCACCTGCATCCATGTTAGTCCATACTGTTTCAACTCTTCTTCACACGATCTCCTCCATGTCACCCTTGCAATGACGTCCCACTCGCCGCTTCCCTTTCGGGTTCCACTCGAGCACTGGCCTGATGCGCGATGTCACCCAGTGGTCTCCTCAGCGAGTGTCCAATCCATCTCCACTTTCTCCTGCATATTTCTTGGGCGATTGGTTCTTGTTTCATTTGTTTGTTCCCATAGTTTCTTGTTGGTTCTTGTTCTTTCCGGCCATCTGATCTTCAGTATAGAGCGAAGACAGTTAGTTGTTGATAAAGGTCTGCAATAGGCTGTTGAAAATATTTTGTGTGGCCCGCCAAGTTTCTGATCCATCCGTATAGAAGAACTGACTGGCTTGACGTTTGTATTGAAAATCCGAATTTTGTTGTTGATGCTGGGTTGAGTGACGAAGATTTCCAGATTGGTTTCAGGTTGACGAATGTGTTTCTCGCCTTCCCGATTCTCGATTTGACATCCTCATCCATTCCTCCTGTAGTTGAGACAATGCTCCCTAGATAAGTGAGTGAAAGAAGTAACATCTTTCAAATCCCTCCCGTTGATGGTGATTGGCGCTGGATGTTGCTGCCTTTGTTGTTGTCGTTGTTGGTTGGTTATTTTCATAACCTCCTTCTTGTCTGTGTTCACCTGGAGTCCTGTCTTTGCTGACTTACAAACTTTTATCAATAGCTGCCCACTTCGCTGGCTGGGAACAAACCAACAACCAAGAGCCGATTGCTAAACAAAGGCATATGTAGGAGAAAATGGAGATAGATCAGATACACACTGAGCAGGCCGTCGAATGACATCAGGTGCAATGCAGGCCATCACTCGAGTGGAATCCCAATGAGAAGCGAAGAGTAGATCGTCATTACGAGTGTGATATGGAGGGGGAGGAGAGAGAGATTACGGCCAGTCGTGGAGCTAGCCAGATAAAGAGGACAGCAGAAAACAGAACAAAGTGAAGAGTATGTTGTTGAAGCCAGCCCTATGTTCCATTTGGAACCCAAGGGAATAATAAAAATAATAATATTATCATTTAATTCATTGATTTTTTCTTTTAAACAGTATTGGTGATCCATTAATGCCTAAAGAATGGCCTAAACGTGCAAGAATCGGTATTAATGGTTTCAATGAAATCGCCCGATTGATTATTCGTTGTTCCCTGGAAGATAAACGTGGCTTAGATGTGGTCGCTATCAATGTAACTGATATGACAGCAGAACAAATTATTTATATGATCCAATATGATACACTACTTGGTCATTTCAAAGGATGTTTATCTAAATGTGTTAGTTTTCATTTAGCCAAAGAGAATTCAAATGAATCTGTTGATTATTGTACTATAGAAATTGCTGGCCGAACATTATCGATATTTCAGTATGAAGATATTAGTTGTATTCCATGGGATTGTGTTAATGTTGAATATGTGATTGAAACAACCGGGAAATTTACACAATTAGATGAAGTCAATGTAAGTTATGTCTTCTTTGGTGTTGGTTATTTTTTGAAACATAAAAGTTTGTTTTTTGATTTGGATTCTATTACTCGTGATGAATGGTGTTTCTGGAATCGAGTTGGTTAGGATATTTGCCAGACAGATGTTTCTTTCTAGTTTGGGACTCATCAGCAGTATGCATCCACCGGGTTGTAAACCTAGGAAGAAACAGATGTCCAGTACTCCCTGGGTTTCAATGGCAGTTCTCTAACTGATATCAACCCGGGGTCAGACGTGAAACGAATGAAATCCTCACAAACTAACTCCTTGTGAAGTCCAATCTGATGCCCGTCAGTGCCTTACTACAGGGTGAAGTTATCTGCAGTTCTAGTCTGTCTGTCTGTCTGGTTTCAACATAGAACTTTTCACCGATGTGCAGCAGTTCGAGTCGCCACACTCCCCACATGTAGCACACAAAGCTAGAGAAGAAAGTAAAAAGAAATGCAAAACAGAGATAGTAAACAGAGATATGAGGCAAAAAGAATAGTAATATAGTGGAAGAACAATATAGTTCCATTGGAAATTATAAGTCACAAGGAGTGAATGCATCTGAGCTAGCCATTGAGAACGATGAGTTTGAGCCATATCATCAGTTGTCTCCAGCTGTCATTGGTGCTTACGGTCCAGAGGACCCCAACCAGTAAGGAAGTCTACATGTTCCTACGTGGCTGGCTGGCTTAAACTAACTGTTGTGGATTTCTTCAGTGACTGATGAAGCCATGTTTTGGTTTGACCACTATTGAATCTTTTCCAACGTGATCCATCCTGTGTCAGCTAACATTGCCCGTTGTCGAGAAAGGCAATAACTAGGGATGTATGACACATGTCCTAACCATCTCTCTCAATCGATCTAACTTCACAACCTCGTCTATTGATTTCCCCTTCATACTAACCTAGCACTCAACCTAAGCCTAACCTCAATATTGCTCATCCTATTATACCATTTCACACGGGAGATAGAACGGAGGCACATATGATCAAATACAGCTATCCAGGCTTTTCACGTCTTCCACTCCCAATGGCCAGGTCTCGCGGCCATAAAGGAGGACAGAGCGGACTGCTGAGCAGTACACATGCCCTTTGATAAATAGCCGGATATAAAGTCTACGCCAGAGACGGCGTAAACTGTCATATGCGAAATTAGCTTTCTGTATCCGTTCTGAGATTATGTTAGCGATCAACCTGTTGGCGTCGGCTGATGCAGCTTCTCAAATAAGTAAGGTGAGTGGTCAAGACGCTCCACAACCACTTCACTCCCTATTTCTAAGCTAGGAGTCAATGTAGTCCAGTCCTGTAGCATCATCTAGTGAGAAATCGTCACTGGCAGTTGGATTCATCTGGTCTGGAGACAGGACAAAAAACTGCCACCGGTGACATTCATTGGTTGGTTCCAGTAGAAGTTGGAATTCATAAGCTGACCGCTGGATCGAGTCCCAGTGACGGAATGATCTATGAGATGGACTTGTAACTGAAGGGTCCTGGGATCGGACACTGAATGTGGGTGGGTACTGACGATGAATTCGAAACTAGGATGAAACAAGTGTCCAGTACCCATTGTTTTTCAGCGGTTAGGTGTAGAGTGTTTCAGATAAGAAGGAAAAGTTGGCAGATGATATTATGAAGCTACATTGACTGAGGTGGCGGGTACACAGTTGCTACGCGTGCCAAGCGATTGCTTTCCCGGACAAACATCAATCCATAGAGTCTTTGACTTCATGCAGGAATTCCCCATTTCTAAACTGAAACAAAGGGAGAAACAAAGGAGAATAAATTTTAGTACAGAGAATAACATGGATGCATTTTATCTCGTCAGTTCTCCTCAGCTAAGTACGGCTCTTGGTTTTCTAACCGGTTCCATGTGCTGGAAAAGAGGGAAGGTTGGGCGTGAGGCTAACGACCCTAGACCACAAAACCAATCAAACTCCTACAGAAACTTCAACGCTCAAGAAATATATCAAAAATACAAAAAATTCAAATAATAATCTTAGTCATCTCTGGAATCGAAGAGGCGAATAACACAGTGGGCTGGCGAAAGCCTTCGGGAAGCCAGTCACCCAGCCAGGCTATGTGTCTTCTCTACATGAAAGCAAGAATAAGAATGAAGACGTGGAATGTCCGTACAATGTATGAAGCTGGGAAGGCTGCCCAGGTAGCTGTAGAAATGAGAAGGTATAGTATGGAAGTGCTGTGTATCCTCGAGAGCGGATGAAATGGGTGTGGATTATAAAGATTGTCAACTGGAGAGTCAGTAATCTACTCTGGTCGGTAACCCAGACGACAACCATGAGCACAATGAGGCAGTGAGTGGCTATAATGTTGTCACCAGTGGTAACCAAGGCTCTAGTGCAGTGGGAACCAATTTCATCCAGGATCATGACAGCAAGATTCAACTCCAAAGGAAGGAAGATTACAATCATCCTATGCTACGCTCCTATAAACAACTCAGACCCACTGAAGAAGAAGGAAGATTTCTATAGACAACTACAAATAGTAATGGACAACATCTCGAATGGTGACATCGAAATCCTAATGTGAGATACGAATGATATATTGTGAGAAGACAATACAGGGAGAGAACTCATCATGGGTCAAGAGGCTGTCGCTTGGATAAATGAGTGAGAACGGAGAATTATTCGCAGACTTCTGCGCTTTCAGTGATCTGGTGATCAGAGGGAGCGTGTACAGACACAAGGACATACACAATGAAATATGGATTTCACCTGACTGATACACCACACACCAGATAGATTTAGTCTCAATGTTGCTCAAGGAAGTGGAGACGCAGTCCGCTGGACAGAAAGTCGAGAAGGGGAGCAGATGTGGGCTTAGACCATTATCTAGTTCAAGAAATCTTAAAGGTGAAATTGAAATCCTTCAGAACACCTGGAGACAGACCACTGTAATTAAAGTTCAACATTCAGAAACTGAAGGAAAAACTACAATGGATGCCTTCACTACAGATCAGATCAGAGCTAAGTCAGAGACACTACGTGGCATCACTGAGGAAGCGTGCGTGGAAGAACATTGGAACTAGCTCTCTGAAGGTGATATTTAAGGAAAAAAGAAGAGTCAAAACAAGGAATGGCCCTCAGTGGACACCTACCTGGAGGCTAATAGAAGAGAGGAGAGGTGGATGGAGAAAGAGAAGATGACTCAATGCAAGATGGACAAGAGAAGAGAAATTGAGTTCGATGTACACTGCACTGAATAAAGCAGTGAAGAAGAGTACTAGGAAAGACAAAAGACAATTCTACGGCACATTGGCCGGCAACTGAAGCAGAACAGGCAGGCTGCAGGCAAAAGAGACCTCAGAACATTTTACCAGATAACCAGGTCTCTCTCCAGGAAGAGGTCAACCCAGATGATGAAACCAATAAACGATGTTCAAGGAAACCGAATTACCAGGGAGGAGAAACAAATAAAACAATGGGCTGATCACTTTAAAGGACTCTTGAATCGACCATCACCTGCAACTAGCCCAGAAATATCACCAACAGACGCACAGAACTTCCTGCTAGTGAACTCCATTTCTCCAGTGAAAGCAGAAATCCTGAGTGAGATAAAGCTACTGAAGTCCTTCCTGGAAGGCAGTAGAATCAGACGGGATTCCCCCCCCCCGGAATCACTGAAAACGGATCCAGGTACTGTAGCAGATTCGCTGACTCCACTATTGAAAACGTTTGGGAGGAAGGAAAGTGCCTACCGATTGGAAGAAAGGCTGGCTACCTTGTCAGGATACCAAAGAAGGGCGGATTACGCCTGGAGCGGAATAATGCTGTTGTTCACGCCAAGTAAAATACAAAGTCGCATCATCCTGGAAAGGATAAAAGATGCACTGGACGCAGAACTCCACCACCCACTGGAACAAGCTGGATTTAGGGAAGGCAAATCATGTGTTGATCAAACTGCAACTCTACACATCATCATCGAACAGAGCATAGAATGTCAGTTAACTGTTACTCCATCTCAACTTCCTGGACTTTGACAGGCGTTCGACAGACAGCGTTGACCGAGAAGTAATTTGAAGATTGCTTCAACACTACGGCTTGCAGTGCCCCAAATCTCTACCAGCCTCATTCAGCAGCCATATGACAATGCCACGTGACAGGTAGCTCATAATGCAGAACTCAGAGAGGCGTTCGAATTGCATCCAGGAGTAAGACAAGGCTGCGTGCATACTATCACCGGTGATACTCCTATTTGTGGTGGACTGGGTTGTGTCAGACTGAGTGTGGGGCGCGAGAAGACAGCAATACGCTGGACGACCGATAAGAAGACACTACAGAATCTGGATTTATTGCGTGAATTATTTGTGTCTAATGTCATACAGACTCGAAGACTTGGAGGCGGAAACCAACAAACTGGCAGAAGAGGTTGGCAAGCAGCGAAGAAAGGACAGATTTCAGCTGAACGTGGAGAAGACATGGGTGATGAAGATTACCAATTAAACAACAAAAACAGCAATAAAAAGCGCCAACCACCATCAACATGAGAAATTTGACAGAGGCTACTTACTTCAATTATCTGAACAGGAAGCACGGTTTCAACCACAGGAGGGCAGAACCGATGAAAATGTCAAAACCAGCCAGAATCGGGAAGACAAGATACACCTTCATCAATCTGAAACCAGTTTGGAAATCTTCTGCACCGTACTCAGCATAAAGAAGATGATTCGGATTTCCAACACAAATATGAAGTCAGTGAGTTCTTCCATATGGTTCAGAAACGCGCATCACGAAAAGCATTTTCAACAGGTTGTGTTCTTTTATCAACAGCTGCCTTAGCTCTCCATTGAAGATCAGATGACCAGAAAGAATTAGCAACTAGAAACTATGGGAACAAACCAACCAAGAACCTATCGTTCAGTAAATATGTGTAAAGGAAAACGGCGATGGATAGGGCACACACTAGGGAGACTATCGAAAGACATCTCGTATCAGCTGCTCTGGTGGAACCCGAATGGGAAACGACGAGTTGGTTGGATGTCTGAGGATGATATAGAGGAGATCGTGCGAGAAGGAGGTGTGAGATTACGGGCAATCGTGGACCTAGCTGAATAGGACAGAAGAAAATAGAGCGAAATGAAGATGTGTTGTTAAAGCCCTATGTCGCCATTCAGTTGAGTCCCAGTAGCTGTGTGGTCTACAAGCTTGCCTTGTAGCCAGAATGTCATAGGTCTGAATCCTTGCGATGGGCGAGTACTGGTGATGAGTCCCGACAAAAATAAGGACGAAATAGCTGTCCACTAGTCCCTAGTTGGTTTTCCAATGGTTCTCTAACTGATATCAAACAGTGGTCACACTTGATATTGAATCACAAATAATGCTTCAACTATGCCTAAATGTCTTCAGAGGCTAGATAGGATCTTGTATACAACTGTGAAGGATTATTTCCAAGTAGAACTGAGTATCCTGAGTTAACCAGATGTTCTATTGACGAAATGTAGACACACCTACTTTCTGGAACTTTCTCGTCCCTTTGTTATGTAATATATTGATGAATACAAAACCGGTGGCTTGTGCTATATAGACGCAAATTGATAAGAAGAGGGCAAAGACTGAAATCAACATGTAGAAATATTTTCCTCATATCTAGAATTAGTCTACGTTATGGTCTAGAAATAATCTCATTGGTCATCTTCTGATCCCATTGTTTAACCTTGTGTCAATCACCAACCAATAGAAGAGTTTATTGTCCTCAGATCTAGCTGACTTTTAATGTGGTCAAAAATGTGTGAATATAATGCATCATTCCTTAATAAATGTAGTCCTTTATCAATTTTCTTATGTATTTATATGTATATCCTATTCTATTTTCATGAATAGAAACATTTAACACGTGGTCGAGCAAGTAAAGTTCTTGTCATTGGAGATAATTTAAATCTACCCTTATTGATGTATCCAATAAGTTGTCGTGGATATCAACGTGGTACAAGTATTGTGTCGAGTGGATCAGCTGCATCTCATGCTGTCGCAACATTAGTCGCGCTGATTGATGCTGCAATACCAATTGATGAGTGTATGGCAACAATTATGTTACCTGTAGATGAAAAAATGAATCTTGTTGATAATAATGTCCCTTATGGAAATGTAAGTTATGCCATAATAGATATAAAAGGCTATTTATATTATTTTGGTGTAGTTGTATTCTCTGAACTGGATAGTTTAGGTTGCGAAGCTTCCAATGCCTTACCAGACAACATCTTCAGGGCATACTTCAATTCGATGAAGTGTGATTTTAAATTTCTCCACGAGTTTATTATTCATCTCTCCTGGTAACCCTGTTACCCCGCCTCTAATATACTTATGTTGGTATTGATTATTTCCTTTACCTGAAAGGTGAACTTTTGATCATGTGACTTCCTTCTTATTGGATTGGTAAATCTTGTCTATGTCAGTGTGTCTACTGATTGGTGATTCACTTGAATACCAGACTTCTTGAAACTATCTGGCGTTTTCGGTGTTTTGTCTGTCTAAGATTTAAACATTATCACAATCGAATTGGTGTCCATGGTTCTCTGTGTGCAGTGAAATGAAGGAGTGGATATTGTGTCATTTCGACGGCCAATTTACACTCATGGGTGTGAAGACGAAGAGGGAGTTCACTTTGACCAATGTAGTGTTTTTCAAAGTCGTTGTAATTTATTGTGTAAATGATGTTGGTTTTATGTTCTTTCTCTATTGAGTCTTTTGGTGGACATAGAACCGAGTGAAATGATTTTGTTGGTTTGTGTGAGATATCACTTCCAGAAGGTTTGAACAGTCTTGTAGTGATTTCTGAGATGTCCTCTATATATATGATGCTTTGTGTTTTCCTTGGGGGTCCTTCATTTGGTAAGTTGGCTTGGGGGTAGATGTATTTTGTTGAAGTTTCTGGAATATTCATTCTTTCGGAAGACGCTGATGAGATATTTTTCTTCAGTTATCCCTAAGACAGGAATGCTGCAATGAGTCCTGACTCTCTTGAATAGTGTTTGAATGCCACTCCTTTAGTGTGTTGTTGGGTTGTTGCTGTTGTAATTGGTTATTTAATCTATGTGGGTTGATTTTCTATAAACTTGAGTTGTCCTGTGGTTGTTCTCTTGACTAAGATGCCCGAAATTGGGATTATGTCCTTGGATTCCTCTTCTCTTGTTAATTTGCTGTCATTGAAGATGTTGTTTATTAGGCTGTGAGTTATTTTTGAGTCGTTTCTTTTGAATATCACAAATGTGTCATCCAAGTAACGTGTCCAAAGTTTCGGTTTGATCTTCGGTAGGATTCTGTTTTCAGATCTTTGCACCACAGCTTCCACATTGCGACCTGATATAGGTGATTCCATGGGTGTTCCCTAAATTCGTTAATATATTTGACTGTTGAATTGGAAGTACGTTGTCAGGCATAGGTTTATGGGTTCTATCCAACTTGTGTGTTGCATTTATGAGTGCTGTTGGAGGTGATCGTCGTTACTGAGTAACTGCTTAATGATTTCTTCTGATGGTTTCTGTCCAGCTGAAGTATATACTGCCTTTGATTTTCTCTAAAAATTGGATCGCAGATTTAATGTATGTATATGGAGCATATTCTTCCAAACATATTGCATGATATTACGTTTATTTTCCCCTCGGTTTCTATGTGTGTCTTAAGTTCTGAGTGAAAAATAGAGAGGACTTCAACCGGAGAACACGTCCATTTCCCTCTGTTCCCTGCTGTCCTTATCAGCTGACTTCACAACAGCTCTCAGGTTTCCATTTCTTCCTGTCCACATGATCTTATCCAAGTCACCTTTGATCTCTCATCCAACTCATCGTTTCCCAATTCTAGTTTCATTCAAAAGGCCTGCTTGATATATGAATTAACTCAAAAATCTAATTTATTCTAATTTCCCGCTGGAAGTGTAATGGACGGTAGCTTCTTGGTTCGATTGTTACAATACAATCTTTTGTGGTGGTCGGTTATTTGTTCTTCCTTCTGAAGGCAACGGAGACAGATGCTGATGAAAGCTTGCAATAGTCTGTTAGAGATTCTTTACTTGACGTAATTGTCAAGTATTTGAAACATATAGAGGTACTGACTGGTTTGACAAAAGTGTTGAAAATCCGAATCGTATTCCATCTCCTGAGGGCAGTAGACTTCGGCACTGATTTCACAATAATGAAGTTCTATCTGGCTTTCCTGATCCTGGCTACCTTTGACACTTTCCTCATTTAGAAAACAGAAAGATTGAGCTGAGCGAAGAAATATTTACTTTTCAATTAGATCCTCATCTCACCCTGGCTCTACTCTAATATACACGTATAGCATTTTTATTATAATACACAACAGTTTACCAATCAAGTGGCACTAATATGCTTGCGAACAATAATTAGTCAGTGTCAAAATGTCAATGGGTTGATAATTAACGAAGAAAATCAATACGCATTTAAAAGGTAGAAATGGTTAGAATAAATTAATTTCACAAGGATAACACGTAATTAAACATGAAGTGGTCAAAATAAATAAAAATAAAATAATTTGGACAATTATAGTTTTTAAAATTTTTAGAAGTTTAGGGGGAGGGGGGCGAAGTAGTCCGGTTTACACATTCATGTAATGATGGCCAAGGCAAGGAAAGTGGCTGTACAAATTTCTGCTGAACACACACACAGGTTTGGCTTCTTCAGGTGGATTCCGATTGCTTCAGCTGTATGTAGAAGACGAACTCATAAAGCAAAATTAGGATTAGTAGGAATGTGATAGATAATTTTAAATGCTGTATTAGCATCAACCTTATGCTCAGTATCTACAAGGTGTGCTAAAATAGAGCTAGTTACGAATAGATCTTGTTTGTCCCTTGCTTAACCATGTTTGATGATGTTCGGAAATACGATGATGAACCTGCCTAATTGTACGCCCAATGCAGCTGGCTGGCTCCACAGCTGCAGTCAAACTAGTAGATACACATAGAGGAGGCAAATTTAGGTAGTTTATCCTTATTTCTCTAATTGAAAAGTAAATATTTCTTCGCTCAATCTTTCTGTTTTCTAAACTTTCCTCATTCACACAATCACTGTAGTTGAAGTGATGCTTCTGCCTAGATAAGTGCAAAAAAGTAATTTCCGTTAGATTTTTCCTGTGTTTGATGCTTGTTGTTGTTGCTGGTTATCGGGTATTAACCGTATCTACTGATCGGTGAATATGTGGCGTTTACCACTGGATTGGTAGACATTCTGGTCTATACGGGGAAGCTTAAGAATCCTGATCCCAAACTTATGGTGTATATTGACCGAAAGATTTGAACACATTGAATGGTATAGGATGAAACTGTTTTGGTAGACTGGAAACCATGGAAACGTAACTCCTAACGCTACTCCACTCCTTTTTGGATCGAACTTTATGTCACAGGTTCGGAATGATGTGGACCTTTAAGACAACCATCTCCTTCAGTCTAAGCTTTCGAACAGTAAATATCTCAGCCTTCGGACAAATAGCTATGAGGGAATTTTGTGTGGCGAATCTGTTGGTGCTCATAATAATGACTACTAAGTGTGCATTTTAATAGTCATTTAATAATTCAAATATATATTAACCATGATGATTTGTCAATAAAAGTGATAAGGATTCAAAACATTTACTTTCCGATACGAATTTAAAACAAGCCATACAGGTTCATAAAGCAGGATTTAATGAATTCTTCAAATTTCGGTAGAACTCGTCAGCTGAATACTCTATATACATACACGGATATATATACTTTTGAAATTATATTGGGAGATATAAGACTGATAAGAAAATAAACTACATTGAATTAGTCATACAGAAAGACAGGTGCAAATGTTTTCCAGGTCATGTTCAATTAGATAAGGGGAGAGAGAGTACGGGAGATCAAAATTAAGATAAATTGCATTACGCTTCAATTACATCACTTAAATAAACAATTAGACATTAGAGAATTTAACAAGAATTGCAACCAGAGGGATGTCAATAGTAATAGTTATAATAACAATAATAGTAATGTTGAAGTGAGTTAAGATAATGCTACTGATAAAAGATAGTTTTAAATGAATCAAGAATAATAATAATAATGAGAATAATAATAAGAGGTAGAATAATAAGTAAAACGTATTACCATGGTAGATTCAGAGTCATAACCATCTCCTTTTGTACACAGAGACCTGGTTTATAAACTCGAATTGCACAAGCCTCCTCCGGAATTGCAAGCATCTTCCTGTTTCTTTGTCTGCTGACAATAACAGTGAATGACTTGACAGCGTCGATATCATGTCCATAGTCCAAAGGTGTTTTGTTATTGAGGTTTTTGGCACATTGCACTCAACTGTTTTCAACCATTTTGGCAAATGCTCCATCATGCGAGTAGACAATCGCCTTTCTGTATGACCTATGCATTTGCTTCCACAAACACACTAATCAAATTGATATACACCGTTTGAAGTGTCGAGTGTGTCCCCGTATATAGAGTATTCAGCTGACGGGTTATACCGAAATTTGATGAATTCATTTAATCCTGCTTTATTAACCTTTTTTGCTTGTTTTAGAAGTGATCAGATTATGCAATTAGTCATAATAACATTAATAATAACAATTCTGTTAGTAACAATGATAAAAAAGTGAAGCAATTCGTGATAAAACGTAGACTTATGAAATGCGGCATGATTATTTGTCATTTTGTGGTCAGCGAATAAATTGATTAGGACTCAGACAAAGGATAAGCTAGATAGTTTTACCATACATCTTAATGTGTAGATATCAAGGAGAAGATTTCTGACCCAGGTGGATGATTTTTGGTGCAATTGTGTATTCCCTAAGCACTGGATGGTAGTTCAGCGTTGCTAGGCTGCTTTCATTGTCTCTTACTAGGCAACACATCCTATATTCATACTCCAGTGTGTATATTCTTATATTATTGTCCCTTGGGATTCTGAATGGAATATAACACTTCAACACCACATCTCCATTTTGTCCTCTTTCGGGTGACACCATGATTGCCCAAAGTTTCTCATCTCCTCCATGTCACCTTCGGACACCCACCCAAATGATCTTTTCCGTTCGGGTTCCACTGAAACGATGACCTGCCTGGCGTGTGATGCCTTTCAACATGAAAAATTGCAATAAACAATAAGGGAGATAGAAAAAAGAATATCAATCAAATTATGAAGCTGTGTGAATACATTGACGTGATCATGAGCGATAAGTTGTGCTCAGATCTTCATTCAGTTATAAATATTGTATCATTGTGTGTTATTTCAAATAAAGTTATCTAATATGGAATTTCACTGTACTACAGTGCCCAAGTTCTACATTTACTTCTTGGATACTCAAACTGAAGCAGAGGGTTGTTTTAAAGGACAATATCCTTCTGAGCCTTTGACATGAAACCTAATCCAAAAAGAAGGAGAGTAGCATCCTGAGCTACATTTCCATGGTTTCCAGTTTACAAAAACAGGTTCATTATATGCCATTCAGTGCGTTCGAATCCTCCAGTCTATTGTACACAATAAGTTCGGAATCCGTGTTTTCTGGTTCCACCAATCCAGTTGTAAGAGCCCTTCAGTTTTTTAAGGAACAGTCGCCACCTACGCAACGCGAATGTAATGAATAGGACTTACCTGGCACACAGTATGAAGGCGTGGCCATTTGAAAGAGAGAGGATTTCGAGCGAGAGACCGAAGTCTACCCATACTAGGTCTTAGCTGGTCATTTACGGGGAAGAGGGTGCTTATATTTAGTGATATTTATTTGTAGAGAGTTCTGTATATAAGGTCTGATCGAAAACACAGTGTGTACTGTCCTTTTAAAACTTGTTATTTCAAACTGTTTTCATTATAAGCTTCTCATACCGTATTTCATTGTTTGCAGGATTGGCGTAAAGGTCGTAGTGCTTTCTTGAGTATCATCCCTGGACGATGTCGTTCAACTATGCAGTCAGTTATACAAGCTTTACCAAATATGAAAAATCGTATCGATGGGATAACGTTGAATATTCCAGTTATGGAAGGTGGACTAGTTGATCTTGCTTGCCGATTGAATGGTTCTATTGAAAATATTGAAGAATTAGTTGAAAAAATTAAAAATAGTCATCTACTGAAAAGTTTTACCAGTTTGCATAAATCATGTCAGCCGTTTAAAAGGGAAATTAAAATAGGTGAGTAGTAAATGGACGCATTTGTTTTCCAAACTTTGTTTTGATTAGAGATGGTTGGAGGCAATCGGCAGGAACCTCGAGGTGACCTAGGTTTCTTGCTAGTTGGTACTTGTTAGCAAGACGTATCTGAGACCACGAATGACCTTGAAACCTAGGTCCAAGGCTTCCTGTCAATTGCCTCCAAATATCTAATACCAACAATTCATTTGAATAAAGTAAGAACAACAATGTGGTTTGTGCAGAATAATATGGTACCATCATTGTTTGTTCCTTTGGATTCTCATCAGCTGCTTACAGCCTAAACAAACTATCACTAAGTTCATGTACAGAAATTTTTTAACATACTTGGAAATTTTTCATGATGTCAGTTGACAGAAGGTTCCACAATTAGTGAAATGTGCTCAGAAAATTGTGCTTATATAGTTTCTACTCAGGGAGTTCAAGTTTAAACAACATAAATGTATGCATACAATGGTAAAGAGGTTACGCAGTAAAGACGAAATATACGTTAGATACAGAGTAACCAATAAATTAGGTAACAGTGTACTCAGTTCAACTCAAATCACAGAAACAAGAGGCAAGCAAAATTACAGTGTATCAGATAGGTGAGTTTAAAGCCAAAGATTACGTAATCAAATGAAAGAGAGAATAAAGACACCCAGTTACCAGAACAAGGAAGGACTGATAACTTCTTCTTTCTGAACACATAAATCTGGTTTCAAGCGTTTGATAGAAATTGCTTCGGCCAAACTTGAGGAGAATGGAACTGCTTTGTTTACTGATAATTTTAAACGATTTCGCGATTTACACCTCATGACCCGTATCGTGGAGATTTCTAGTAATAGCTCCATTATTAGAGTTTGTTCCCTTGAGACGTAGGCTTTTCGGCACATGTTCAGAAAATCATAGGTCTACTCTTCTTCCTTCTGTTCTTCCAATGTAAGCGCTCCCGCAGATACATGTAAATTTGCATACACAGTTGGAGTTAACATGAGAAGGGTATCTGTCGACTTTTGACTGCACCAAAGAGCATGTTGTTCGATGGACGGGAACCAAATTAGCTGCAGGATAGACTCCGTCTAGTGACGTACTCAGTCTTCTGTTGACCATTGCTGCAATGTTTTCACCTTTAAAATCGAGTTGAATGCAGACGGGCTATATTTGAACTGTGATTTGTTTGATATTTGAGCCTTCATCTCTTCCATATTTGTTGATGAGTGCATCGTGATAGAGAGCCACATAGCATGGTGGCCATATTGCATACTTAACTGATTGAATTCAGTCTGCACCAAACATATTATTATTGTTTCCTTCAGTTCCTAGAGGAACATAGGGCTTCAGCCATGCGTCTCCATTGCGTTCGGTTCTCTGATACAGTCTTCACCTGGCTCCAAGTCTGCCCATACGCTTTCAATTCTTCTTCACATGATCTCCCCCAGGTCACCCTTGGACGACCAACTCGTCGCTTCCCTTTCGAATTCCACTCAAGCAATGGCTTGTCTAGTGATGTCACTTGCTGGTTTCCTCAGAGTGTGTCCAATCCATCTCCATTTCTTCCTGCCTATTTGTTTCACAATCGGTTCCTGCTGAGTTGGTTCGCTCCCAGAGATCTTTGTTGCTGATCCTTTCCGGCCATCTGATCTTGAGTATTGAGCGAAGACATCTGTTAATGAAGGTCTGTAGCTTGTTTGAGGTGCACTTTGTGACACGCCAAGTCTCTGATCCGTATAGTAGTACTGACTTCACCTTGGAGTTGAAAATCCGGATCTTATTTTTGACGCTGAATGATGTTGACCTCCACACAGACTTGAGAGTAATGAAAGCTTGCCTTGCTTTCCCGATCCTTGCTTTGATATCCTCGTCAGTTCCGCCTGTAGTTGAAACAATGCTTCCCAAGTAGGTAAAGGAGGTAGTTTCTTTCAGGTTCCTTCCATTTATGCTGATTGCTGTCTGTTGTTGTTGCTGTGGCTGTTGGTGTTGGCCAGGAATCTTCATCACCTCCGTTTTCTCTATGTTCAGCTGGAGTCCTATCTTTGATGCTTCTTCTGTCAACTTGTTACTTTTCACTTGCATGTCTTCCAGTTTGTGGGAAATCATACATATATCATCGGCGAAGTCCAGATCCTCTAAGTTCTTGGTGTGAGTCCATTTTATGCCTGTTTCCTCATTGCCCACTGTTTGTCGCATTATCCAGTCTACTGCAATCAGGAAAATCATTGGCGATAGTAGGCAACCCTGTCTTACTCCTGTCTTCACTTCGAAGGATTCCTTGAGCTTCCCGTTGTGGATTACTTTGCATGCAGCGTTGTCATACAACTGTTGGATGAGATGCACCAAAAATAAGACTAAAAATATTACACTCGTTACTAACATGTGTTCAATCAAACTTTGTTTCAGTTAATTTTTTAGCTTTCTGATTGGAATAAAAAAGGGTTTCAGCCCATGAGGTTTCAGTGGGTGTGTGGTGTTATTTCTAGACAGGTTGAGATCGCTACTTTCACGCCAAACTTTCCATGTATTCTAAGATAATGGCTGGGTCAGGAGAGGTTTCGGAGTGCATCGGTTGCGAATCACAACACCTGGACATCTAACATAGTTGATGGATATTCTACGGCTGGACCACCAATGCATCCACTTTTCACTCGCAAAATCTTCTATTTATGTGAATCATGGGGCTTCTGGCTTTAAGTTTTGAAATTTCAATAGCGGTGGATTTCGGTTCACTTTACGAGGTTGGGTGAGTTTGCTAACTTCACACACAACCTTCCGTCATTCTTGGGAAGACTACTGACTAGTCAACTAGAAGAGGTCTAGGATGGTGTTGGTAGGCAGGAATCGAACGCAGACCTTCCACATGCGTGATTCACGAGTATCCTAACAATGAACCATCACCAACTCACTTCTTTTCTAGTTTTGGTATCTTTTATTTTCAAGTTATGTTTTGCACATGAAACCATGCACATGGTCTGGAATTTGATTCCCGGCCAGCGCACACCATTTCCTCCCCCTAGCCGGTTAAAAACCCTAAAATGTGGGAAGGTTGGGCGTGAGGCTAGAAACCTCACACCACTGCTACAGTAACTTTGGAGCTCAAACTTGAAGCCGCACTATGCTCCACTCGGAAAGAAAAGGAATTAAAAGAAAAAATGTTTTGTTGGGGGATTTGATTGGTGATTTTGAGTGAAATCATGGAATGGCTCAGAGTAGTTAGGGAATCATTGAAAACCACTAGGAAACGCTGGAGAGATGTTTCGCTTTCCTGACTCGAAGTACTTCAGAGATCAAACCCAGCATCTTCAGGTTATGAGACGAGGCAATTGACCATTCAGTTACCAGAACAGAAATTTTTTCGATTATAGCTTGAAACCACACAGTATTTTTGATACAAGTATGGAATTTTCAGCATGTGATATCGGTAGCCCAAATTTTGCAGGCCGACCATAGATTTCAGGTGTGCGTCGTCAGGAGATTGAACCTCGGACCATGTGCATGGTCGGCGTAAGTCCGAACTGACGTGCCACCAATGCAGAGTGATCTATGAATTCCAACAGCTATGTAGTGTCTCTGTCGTCATCGTCTTATCACACTCAATGTAGTAGACTCTACTGGTCACAACATCTGACTAGAAATTCCAGGAAATTTCATCCTGCCTTCATTCACTAATGAAAATTAACTCAATTTTTCAAATATTATTTTAAGAAATCCTATGAAATTTATTTGAATAAATATCAGTGTAACGGAAATATTTCTTTTTATTCCTTCACGTTCTCAGTGGAATATAGGGCTTCAAGTTAGAGGCTTGAAGTTTCTCTAGCAGTGTTTATTTTTACAGGATGAGGTTGCTAACCTCATGCCCAACCTTTCCCCTTTACCAGCTTTATTTCTGGCTTAGCGAGGTAAAGGAGTGCGTCGACCGGGGATCGAAGCCCGGACCATGTGCACAGTTGGCGAGCATCCTAACCACTGTGCTACCGATGCACGTAACGGAAATATAGTTTGGAGAATCCCTGCTGGACAATCTAATCACAGTAATATTTATACTCATTTGGATGTTTCAATCAACTTTGTAACTATTATCCGTTCTGCTCCCAGACTGTATATCATATGTAGACTTGATCCCTCCCTGTTTGATCTCCAATTTCAATGCTTCTCATTGATAATGTGTTGTTCTACTATGTGATTGTGTTTGAGTGATTGAAGGTGATTCTGCTCTTGGACTGTCTTTGGGAACTGTTGGTGTGTGATTCTTGTGGATAGAGATTTTCATCCCTCCCCACCATGTCGGCAATATTCTACTTGGTTCTCAGCTACTTGTTTTGCACATAGAAACTTACATTGACTGTATAGCTGCCTAACGGAACTGTTGAGGTAATTTTGAGTTTTCGATGTCATCATTATTATTGACCAGAACCACACACAGATTTGTCGACGAATAATCGTCTTTTCTGCTGTCTTTGGTGCATTTTTTGACTGTGCTCTGGATGAAAAACTTCGATCGGAACAGGCTGGATTCAGGAGAAACAAGTCATGTATTGATCAAATCGTCACACTACGGATCATCATTGAACAAATTTTGGAATGGCAGTCACCTCTCTACCTCACTTAACTTAATCGACTTTGAAAAGGCCTTTAGCAGAAAGCGACGATCGAGAGGTGATTTGGAAACTACTTCGCTACTATAGGGTGCCACCGACAATTATACATCTCATCCAACAGCTGTACGACAATGCGGCATGCCAAGTAATCCACAACTGGAAGCTTAAGGAATCCTTCGAAGTGAGGACAGGAGTAAGACACGCTGGCTGCCTACTATCGCCAATGATTTTCCTGATTGCAGTAGACTGGATAATGCGACAAACAGTGGGCAATGAGGAAACAGGCATAAAATGGACACACACAAAAAACTTGGAGGACCTGGACTTCGCCGATAATATATGTCTGGTTTTCCACAAACTGGAAGATATGCAAGTGAAAAGCAACAAGTTGACAGAGGAAGAAGC